AAATCAGTGGGCATTGATATTCAGAGATCCCTAAATTTCGGACGTACTGACATCGGCCCTTATATTAAATTAAATTAAAATTATAAGATGTTCCTGAATCCAAATGAAGAAAAGTGGCACTTCAAAACAAAGTGGTTAACAATTCAGATGAGAGGTACACTAAGAAAAAAAGACTACAGTGGAGATAATTATATAATGTGGAGGTTCATTCTTTGTAATCCAGAACAGAAATCGTTGAAAATAAATGCGACGATAAACTGGTTCATCTAAATATTAGGCCCTGCAAGGATATAGAGGCATGGAGGTAAACATCCACTCTCAGATTTCGGGACTGCATGGAACAGAGCGGTCAGCCTCTTAAGGAAGGGTCTTACAGTACCTACTTCGTCTCCAAGGATCGTACATGGACATAAATGCAATGGAAATTTGTTTGGTTTGCTGCGGATTGAACCCCAGTGGTCTATCAACATAGCCAGTCACTTTCTGACAGAATTATCTCCGCTCATCAGGGATAATATTGTTAGATAAATGTAATGAAGGAAATTTAGATGGGTAGGTTAGCTGCAGGTACAGAAAAGCAAACTGATTATTGTTGAAAATCTTTGTAGAAATATACGTATTGGGAGACTCAGAGAATAATATTAGAATGGATAGTTCAAGTCCAGTTGAGGTCAGTATTCAGTAAATGTCAGAGTTGTGTTTAAAATCTTATTATTCTGCAAACTGTGGAAACACTAAAGACTGACATACATAAAACCGTACTGACGACAAGAAGCATTTGCTCGGCTTTATAGGTGTCTTACTTCTAACTTATTTAATGCCACTTGCCTAACTGAATATGTTGTGTAATGCAGAATGCCGGTATCATTGAGAATGTCGACTTGGAATGTGAAGTTGGTGTGGCCTCTTTAAAGGCATTTGCCTGCAGGAACTGAAGCAAATAATGAGACAAATCCTGTCAGGGTAAGAGATTCAAGCTTGAGACCTCTGTCCGGCGAGAATGATCTCCGAGATATTACTATCAGGATTGTCGCGGTTCAAGCTCCGGTGTGGGCAGATAATGCTGTTATTCAGTGTACCACATACTGCCTGTATCAAGCATCACGCTGTAGTGGTTGGCTGACTTGCTGCCTAACCGTGAGATTGCAAGTTCTAATCTTGGTCACAAGATAAGCCATCAAGATTGGGAATTTCGTACTCTTCCTCAGTACCTTCCTTTCAATGCCAGCATGCGTCCTTGAAATAGGCCACGACAATCCCATAACTAACTACATGGAGCTGATCCCTTCTTGAGAAGCCGCCACCTGCAGTGGCATGTTGTTCACACCAACAGCACTCCAATGAAGGAACACTTTGATTGTTTAAGGTCTTTCATTCTGGTCCGTCACACTAACCAATTAACAATCAAGTTCCTTCCGTCAAATGTGACACTTTTTTAAGTTTTCCACCTCGTCACCACCTGCCTTACATGTTTCGGCTCACCACGGAGCCATCATCAGAGGCATTTATAGTAGAAAAAGAAATCACCAACACACAAAACTTCACTTTGTCCAAGATAGCCACATGTAAGGCAGGTGGTGACGAGGTGGAAAACTTAAAAAAGTGTCACATTTGACGGAAGGAACTTGATTGTTACTTTGATTGTAATTCCAAAATTCACTTATATTTCTTCTACACACAAGCCTGTTGGCACTGAGGGCTAGGGCAGTCAGTAAAAACAGTCTTGGAGGTAAGTTCATGAAGAGACTTTCTATTGCTCTGCCTTGGCAAGAATCCCAGTGGTGCCCATGTTCACAACAAGCAATGAAGAAGGCGAACAGTAAGTATCCTTGGTCAGCAAAGCTGTGAGATTGTCTTCTGGGATGCCAAGCAATGGTCTTAAGTTTATTTCCCAACCAAAGAGAAAACCATCCACACAGATTATTATGGTTAAATGCTCAAGAAAGTGCACCACACCTTTCATGAAAAGCTATCACATGACTTTACATTATGGGTGGCACCAAGATCTTTTCCAAAGGGAAGCAGCTAGAAAGTTGCAGTCTTCTCCACACCACTATTGTTTTACGGCTCCTGTTTTACCCTACATAAAGACCACTTTCTCTTAATGCAGCTTCCAGTCTGCTTTTACCGGTTCTCATGGTCTCTTCGCTTGCGGATATCTTATATTTTTCATTCTACCCTGAAGATGGAGGCGATATGTTCCTCTGAAACGTCGGTTAACACCACATATACACGGTGCCAAATATCACAAGACTGCTTTCTTCCTCTGCTTGCTTGGCTTACTCTTTGATTCTGATGATGGTGGCAATACAGTGCTCCGAAATATCCACAAGCTTCTGCCAGACTACACGGGATACTTTCCCATAAGATGGTTCTCTTCAATAAGACCTGTGTTTAGGATTGGTTACAATGGACATTACTTCAAGTTCAACTGATCAATGCTCTTTTGCTGAGTATGCCCTCCTATGTAAGTGCAACTACTACCACAAAGCAGGTCTGAACTGTATTAAAATATGCACTGAAAATATATGTACTGCAATTTATCAAGTCCATGGAACAAGTTTTGAGGAGAGTGTAAGTACAATGACTTAAGAAAATTATATTAAAAATGTGCAATAAACTGAAAATTGTCTAACAAAAATTTAACATGTGTGAATGTATGTGATAAGGAGACATCACACAGAGATCTCCTGTATTTGCACTCGCGTCTTCATACTGCCAGGTGTCTGAGGACAACCTTGGTGATGCACAACCTCCCTCATACACTAAGGACCTCATCAATACCTATAATATTTGCAGATGACACTAGTGTTATAATTTCTGGTAAAAATTTAGATGATTTCTGCATATTATCAAGCAAGGTTCTTTCGCAAATGAGTAAATGGTTTTCTGCAAACAAGCTGTCCCTGAACCTAGAAAAAACAAACTTAATAAAATTCATAACAAAAGTCGCCACAATATCCATTAAACATAGGAGATAATGATAAATATATAGAAGAGGGAATAAACACAAAATTCCTTGGCTCGCAAATTGATAATAATTTAAACTGGAAAAATCATATCAATCAGTTGCTTCCAAAGCTAAGTGGAGCATGCTATGCAGTTAGACTTATGTTGCACATCAGCAACCCTGACACCCTCAAATCAATCTATTTTGGTTACTTTCACTCTCTAATGAAGTATGGAATAATTCTGGGGGTAATTCATCTGACAGTATAAAGGTATTTATATTGCAAAAGAAAATTGTTAGAATCATGATGGGTGTCAAATCCTGCAATTCCTGTAGAGATCTACGTAAGAGACTACAGATCTTAACTTTTCCTTGTGAATATATATATATTCATTAATAAACTTCATTACAAATAACGAAGAACATTTTCAGACGAATGCGGATGTACACAGTGTTTAACACAGACACAAACACTGTCTTCATAAACCAATTGCTAACCTCTCATGCTTTCAGAAAAGTGCATATTATGCTGTGATCAACATTTGTAATAACCTGCCATCTGATCTCAAAGGCCTTATGAATGAAAAGGCAAGATTTTAAATAGTACTGAAACGATACTTAAACACACATTCATTCTACTCTGTTGATGAATATCTATTGTCTAGAAAATAACTTGTGTATCTTTAAATAGCCTTGTGTGTAGTCACTGTGTATTCTTGGTTTCTCTTGTGTAAGAACATGTGTTTTGCATTTCTATGACATACCCCACATCCTACAGTCATTTTGACTAACTGTGGATCCATGGAAAGCAATGCAATGTAATGTAATCCCTCCACTTGCACCAATCTGATTACAATGTGAGGGTGGTAGTGTTTTGGGTGGTGGGGGTGGTTCTGGACTGGAGGGGCTGGTTAGGTGTGGAGGCAGTGGTGGAGCCTGTGTTTTCTATTTCTCAACAGGGGGCTCAGTGTTTTCACTGGGACCATAACTTGGAGGCTGTTGTTCCGTGATAGTGCAGTTTGGCCTAGTTTTTGTTCCGGATGTGGGCAATTTTTGAACTTCTGCAGTGGGAGTTCTATCGCTGCAGCTGATGCGGACGGGTAGAGATGCTGCTGCGATGTCGACAGCACCACGTGATCCACAAGTGCATGCTTACTCTCGCAGTAGTGTCCGTCTCCTGAACTATTGCTACAACTGCCAACCTCTGCAAGCTCCTTCATTTTCTTGTCATCAAAATGTCCTCCTGAGCCCAGTCCCTCTGATGGTAGATCCCTGCGAAGATGAGGGTGTTGAGAAGCAACAAGAAGCACCCGACTGCTATTGTGACCGTCAGTGGTGTGGTGTAGCTCTGGTAATGGCTGGACGCAAGTTTCCGCAGCAAGTTGTTATGGTTGTTGCTGGGTCGCAAGGTTCCACTGTTCATTGCATTGCTCGTCACACTGGGTGGACATTCTGTGGTAGTGCTGCTGGCTGGATCTGTCTTTGTGCTTGTGCTAGGGGCTGCTGTTGTTGGAGTTGTGACAATATTGGTTGTGTGCTGTGGGGGCAAGTTTGGTCACTGCAGGGTTTGTTGCCTCATGGGATCCAGGCTTCAAAATATAATTTATAATTCATTCTACTTTATGGGAATATGAATTTCACACAAAATATTCCGTGCCTCATTTCCCAACAAAACAATGAGCTTTAAAACATCTATTGGCGCTGAACATCATGGCAAAGAAGAAGGTATTCTTTACACACTTCTGTTATTTCACATCTTCTAACATGCAAATCACATGAAAATGGTAGGGGACAAAAAAGTTTGTTTGATCCAACCTCTTCCAGAAAAAAGTAGTTAAATACTGACTATAAGGTGCTCAAAAATTCTAGTTTTATGTTCACCATACTCTGTATTAACCATGAGGACATTAAAAAAAAAAATT